TGCTCGTTATTGCACAGTGCACGTTGTATCATCGGTCCGGTCAATGCTAAAGTCCAGCTTTATTATCTAAGTGGGGCGCGCAGATATCTAAGGTATGCGCAGAAAGCAACTTTTAAACAGGTATCTCTATATACAGAATGGGGAAAAGGTCTAACTGAATCATGCCCATTTGCCGAGCAGCGCCATCAGCAGCGCACCTAAACATAACAGTCCAAACGCCGACAGCACCACGTGGATCGGGGCTTTGCGCATCGAGGTGCTGAACATGAACTCGTGCGCCAGGAGCTCCACCAGCGCCGTGTAGATCAGGATCCCCGCCGAGATCGCATCGAACACGCCACTGACGATCAACGTCGTGGCGCCGCTGTCGGCGTAGCTGTTGCGGACCCCCAGGCCGATGGCGATAGCGATCGGGGTGGACACGCCGAACCCGAGGCCCAGGAAATACGGCGTCCATCGCTTGGCGCGCGGCCACGGCACCGTGGCCAGCCGCGAGCCCAGACCGAGTCCCTCGAACGTTTGGTGGAAGACGAGGACGACGTAGAGCGTCACGAAGCCGGTGCCGGTGACCGCGAGGGTCAGCCCGATGAACACCGAGTGGAAGATGATGCCGAACTCCAGGATGAAGATGGAGGTCAGCTGCGCCATGTACTCCTCGAGGTGCGAGTGGTTCTTGCCCGCCTCGACGTCGTGGTGCTCGCGCGAGTGCCCGAGGTGGTCTTCGCCCGGCATGTGGCCCTTGAAGTCCTCGGAGACGGCCACCGGCTGCTCGGCCTGGACGTGGTGGTGCTGGTGCTGGATGTGGTGGTGGTGGTGGTGGTGGTGGCTGTCGTCGTCTTCTTCTTCGCTGTCCGAGTCATGAGCGTGGCCGTGCCCGAAGCGTGCGTAGCGCATGACCATGAGCTCCACAAAAAACAACACCACAATGGTCATCAATACAATCGCTTCCGTCCACGAGTACTCTGTGATCGGCCCCGTCAGGCAATCGCTCGTCAAGGCCTCTTCGGCCGGGGCCAACAGGTGGATGAATGCCGTGGCAATGATGACACCAGACCCGAAATACTTCGCGACGAAGAAGGCCCATTTCGATAGTTTGCCGTCACTGAAGCTCCGCGCAATGACGGGGAAGAGGGCGCCGAACGACGAGCCGATGAAGATCACAAAGATGGAGGAGATGCGCAGGCCGATTCGGCCGTCGTACTCGTTGCCCGTGGGGCAGCCATCGTCTCTGGCAACGAGGGTATGGAGGGAGTCCATGCTTTCTGCGCTCAATCGTCCTTTTCCAAATCCGTCGGCAACTCAAGGACCCTTGAGCCTGTGCTGTGTCCTGTGTTTGCGTGGCACGGGCCCGCCTCCAGGGACAAGGTTTAACGGGATAGATCGACCGCTAAAAAGCCAGTGATACTGGAGGGAGTCCAATGATATCGCCGGGTGGGTGTGTGACAGGGGTTGTGGCAGGCGTCAAAAGAGGCACGTGGGAGGAGGAATGTGAAGGGTTGAGAATGCTGCCAGTGTCCGTCTGCAAGGTCCGCGTTCTTTATTAAGTGGTCTGCTTTTTTCGATCCCCCGCTCTTGAATGTCAGAAATCCGGTTGTGCGGCTGCCAGCGGGCACGTCGACAGTCCCCAAGGTCCTTGAGAGTTGAGACTAGTCAAGAATGCCCACGTCAAACTAGTGAGCGACGAGACTGCAGCAGCCTGTCAGACGGGGACCTTGGTAGCACAGTGGGGTGGGGGGGGGGGGGGGAGAAACGGCCAGCAGCTGCAGTCACTAAGAGAGCGATTGAGATGGCCTGACGACTCGAGAAGGACCGACACGTCGCAAGGATGAACGAGCAGAGGCACCTGAGGTGATACAGGCGCAATAAGCAGGCGGACAGAGGGAATGGTCGAGGAGGTCCATCGTGGCGGCGATGAAGAATTCGACTCTGTTCTGGGAAAGGTGCGGGTCGATGTTGCAGTGGATGGGGACCTTGGAGGAAACCGACGTCAAATTCCTCGCGCGCTTGGGGACCTTGCGGACAGGATGACCCTCCTTTTTTTGGGCTGCTGATTGGCCCGGATCAATCTCGGAGTGGGCGTGTGACACGTGATTGTGCACAAGATATGATAAGATGTCTATTGATCTACAGTATACACTCCGTAGAGTGCACTTCTTTAGCTGCTTGGTGAGAGAAAGAGTGAGAAAAGCCAAGTTTATAGAGAAAGATATACTAAATTGAACACTCATTACCCCCTCACACGTGTTCTATACCATAGATGACTGTGAATCTGGCGTGATCGGTCGAATGACTACAATGGTAGATGAATCAATGGGAGGAACCACCCTCTTGAAAAGTCAATTCAACAGGTGCTAAATGCAACCATAAGGGTACCCAAGGGTGCAGATATAACTTGTGGGGTCAGGCATCTCTCATCAATCTTCCTAACTGTGGTTTTAGCAAGGAATATATGCATATGACCCTACTAATTAATATATCGTTATGTTATAGAGAGGCTTTGAGAAAGACAAGATTGTATCACATGCTCCTGACCACACTGCACGCTGTACACCGCGGTGTATGGATGGTGCGCTGGAAATGGCACCGTCGGAGAAGGAAGGCTTTTGATGCCCAGTCTTTCCGCCCTTGCCGGGCGCGCTTGGCAGCGCAGCTCCGGACCTTGATCACGTCACGTTTTCCGCCAACTCTCGCCGACCACCTCACACATGACATCAACACACACACGCACGCACGCATACTCGATCCCCTTCCACTCTGCCACTCTATCTCCTATCTCCCTTGAAGCTGCCGATACCAGCCCGAATTTAACCTAGAATCAACTATCTTCTACGAACACCACAACACCTACATCCCATCCGTCCAAACCGTGATCGTTGCTCTCATGGCGCCGATTCGCCGCTACCTCCGGATCAGCAAGTACACCGTGCTCGAATGTCGGATCTACCTCGAGAAGCCCTCCGACATCCGATGGCTGCTCAGCAGCCGTGACCCCGTCCTGCAACGGATCTTCGCCGCCATCCGACCCTTGGTCCTGCCCAAGTTACGCGAAGAAAACGAACGACTCCTTGCCCGGAAGAAAGGCAAGCCCGTCAAGGATGTCATCGCAGAAGGTAATGCTGGCTTTCGGCCGATGCAAGCCCTTTCATCCAGCGGAGTTGGAAACAAGACCTGCTAACATCATGCCATGGGTACAGATGACTTCGAAGTCGCCCTGTTCCTTCGCGAATCCCGAACACGCCACTCTCTGTTGACGCGACACAAGGAGTTTGAGCAGGACGCGAACAAAGGCCAGAGCAAGCGGCCATCTCAGGCGGGGGCGGGTGGCACCGCCAAGGGCCATATTCTGGTCGAAAGCGATGATGAGAGTGACCTGCGGATGCAGGATATCCCCGAAGCTGGGGCGGTCGAAGAAGGCAATGCCGGAGGGAAACGTGCGCGAGCGACGGAGGGGGAGCGGGACGAGTCCCCGAATGATCGACGCACTTCCAAACGGAGGAAAGACGAGGACTCGACACCACAAATCGAAGAGCCCGAGGACAAGAAGATGCACTTCAAAACGAACTATGAGGGGTTCAACATCTACGGCTGGGTGCTGTGTCTGCTCGTCACACGCAAAGGTGACGGGATGGGCGCGACGCCTGGTGCCGCAGAGCCTGGTCGCCAGGTCCTGATGGAAGAATGGATTTCTACCCAGGCTCAAGGTGACCTGGTTGAGGATTGATTCTGAAGAGCTGCTTGGGCATGTGCGGGGTAGATGGGCCTATCGGCCGGTGATGGCCAGCGCTGACTCTCGGATCCGATGGTCGGCAGACCGAACGTGCCATCTTGTCCGTGTCGACTTTGCATGGCTGCAGGAGGCGGGTCTGATGTGCAACCCTGCCTTGCAGACATCCCTGATCATGACCGTAACTGAGCAGGGTATGATGATCTTGACTTCCATCTGGCATGATTGCAGGCTCTACGACATTCACTCAATGCCTGGATCTGCAGCCTCGAGGTCACCATGAAACACACCCCTGCACCCGTTTATGCAACAGAGGCGGTAGTGCTACGTGCAATTTGTGGAGTTATCAGGCCATCTCTACCGTGGTCTACAATGCTCCCTGTGCAACCCACGGTCTCAAGGTCCTGCATTCGATGGTCCTGGATTCTTCTGGTCTGTGCCACTCAGCTATGCGCGAAGCTTCTCCCGTCCCAATTCGGCCACTCTCACCATGGCGGAATGGATTCACCACACATACCGCCATCTGTGGCGCTCTGGACGGAAACGAGTTGCGCGATGCTCGGTGACACTGCGCCAGATGCATCTGCAGGCCTGTAGTGCTGATTAGACTTCCGGCTTGCTGCATATGCCAAGATCCTGGCATTGATGCTCTCTTTGGACAGGGCAGTTTTTGCAAGTTCCTTGGAAAACTATATCGAGCCCTGATATAGACACAACCCAAACGATATCAAGGCCTGAACGGAATGATGTTTGGCATTTCGGCAGCTGAGCGGAGTCCATGCTTAGCGTTTAGAGTAGCTTGCTGATAACAACGTCGAAGCCTGACCCCGGGTGGACCCGAACTAATCCCGTTCCCTGTCTCCCCAACAGAAAAGTGGCGCAGGATCCTCCGAATTCGGCTCACCGTTTTCTTTCATGATCGGAGAGGGGCCCTACAAGAAAGAGGGCTAAAACGACTTAGAGTAGTTTACGAGTCAATTCCAACGCCCAACGAAGTGCGGAGGTTTTCTTCCATTATTGTTCTATGGCGGCTCGGATGGGGCCTGCGGGATGGGGAATCAAGCCCAATCCTCGATACCACTCGTGACGGTCGTACCAGTTCAACAGGAATTACCGAATCGCGACGTCAAGGAATGGGGAAAGTCGAGTTCTTGTTCAGCAACTGGACTACCCCAACCTGTACGTGCATCAGGATAACGACTTATCTCAACCCATCATTGGTGTAGACATACACCGCATGCGCGCGCTCGCGCAGCAGTAGTGGGCCATCGGTTGCAGTTGGAAACCCACGATGTGCTTGGCGGCTGGGACCGCTTCACGATAGACTGGTGACTAGCGGGACTTGCATCATAATTAGTGGCCTTTTAGCCCGCGATTAGCGGGAGTTGGCTGGGAGGGGATTTCGAAATGGATCCATATCAATTCGTCGAAACGACGCCGAATCTTCTCGTCTCTCCAGAAAGCTGCCCCCTCGTTTCCTGCTAATTAAAGAGCGGTGAACCGTGGAATGGCAAGACTTCTGGAAGGGCGGGTACCATTCCATGAAGCGGAGACAATTCTCTGTCTGTCTGAGTTTGATCTTCACCGCTGGAGATGGATTGCGATCGTGGTCCCTCGCCTCCATCGGTTGCGGATCCTGACCACACCGACATTGATTATTGATTGATTTTGAAGATAAATGAACCTTAGGTAGAGGGGGGCGGTGATCGACCGAGTCTGTTGCGCAGTCAGTACCCCGTACTCGGCGCTGCATAAATTCTAATTAGGATTGGCAGAGCTGCAGCAAGGTGCATAGTACCTGCATTAAGCAGGTGATTGACTTGCGAAAGGCGCCAATCACTCATCGGCAAAGATACGGGCAGTGCAGGTGAGACAGAGACAGGGACAGGGACAGAGACGGAGAGACTGATGAGTTCACCTCGTTAAAGTGTCGGGATGGCAAAGAAGCCCAAGAGGCGGACTCAGCTTCAGTTTAGTGATTACTGATTAGCCCAGTCTAAAGTAGTCTATCCACTTCGGGACAGGCACAGTGGTGGCACATGATCACCACTTCCCAGCCAGACTATGACCGATCAAGCAGGCTAGAGAACTCCGATCTACCCACATCTCCATGATAGGAAATGAAGTGCCAAATTGAAGACCACAAGGAACGACAATCGCAATTCGATGTCTTTTTCATTTACCCCTCTAACCTCCCAGAAAGCGCTAACGACCCATACCCGAGGAGATGATGATTGACCATGATTGACCATGATTTACACTGCCTCCGCAATCCGCAAGGCCATTGCTGCTGCTGCTGCTGCTGCTGGATTGTTTGCTGTTCCCACTTTTCTTCGCCAACGGCGCGGAATGAAAAGTGGGGAATCTCATTTCCTTCACTTGGAACCATTGCTCCACCCGTACCAGAGAATCTGTATTTTTTTTTTTGGTTTCGGGACGGTCAATTTGCCATGTGTTCGTTCCATCGCCTTCCAGGGTTTCAGAGCCGACAATACCAATCCATCATGAATCATTGGGCATATCATCGGAAGCCCAGGGAGATCTGGGTTTGGTTTCGTCGTGGTCGCATGTGAGCTTCGAATCAGGGTCCATCTTCAGCCTTTTTGACCCGGAACCCGGCGGGTATACTCGTACGTTTCCACTGGGATTTGCGTCAGTTGTTCATCATCGTGAATCATTCTCATCATCATCTTGAATCTCATGGACCCAAGCCGAGATCCCCATCGGAGTCGCTAATGCCTACTCCGAAATACCCGCTGGGATAAGAGGGAAAAAAGAGGCAGAGCAGAGCAGAAAAGAAGAACGCCATCCTCGTAACAGCATAGATTCATGCATGTGGTCCCCAGCACACGCTACAGTCCACACCACACGGCACTAAGTCGATTATAGACTCCGACACTGGGAATTTACGGAGTAGACTGCCTTATCCACTGATGAGGGTCGGAAAGTGGTTTTAGGCGCCCGCCCTAAGGTAGCCTGAGTACGGGAGCGGTTTATCAGTCATCGCTCTAGGAGTTATTGATCAAGCACGTACGTAGCTAGCTACTCGAGAGTACGTACGAAGTTACTGTACAGTGTACAAGTTATCTTGGGTATCCTGCGGGATCGATTGGTGTGAGCTCTCATCATTATATCAGTAGATGATAGATTGACGTGCAGGATCATCATCCCTTCCTTCCCTTCCCTCCCGACCAACAACTTTCCTGCTCTTCAGCCTGCAGATGATCCCGCCCGCCCTTTTCTTTGTGCTACTGACTATAGAGTACAATCCAAGCTGCAGCAATTAGCTGCACCGGCCATCAATCCGGGTTAGTCTCGTTCCAACTACCCTGTCCTGTTCCCCTTGGGATGTCACGCTAAAAGAGCGCCAGCGGACTGCGAATCAAGCGGGAGTCGTAGTGGTCATAGTAGTAGCAGTCCTCCGTGAAGACGACGGTTTTTAATCTAATCAAGGCCAGGGAAGGCAAATTGCACCGGAACCCAGGGTTGGTTGCATTGCATAAGTCTGCAGGAGCGACTCAATTCCCTAGGAAGTCCAAGGTAAGCTAAGTTGAGTTCCAAGTATTGTGAGTATGAGTATGAGTATGAGTATACTACGAGAATGAGGGGTGCCTGCCTTGCCTGCCTTGCCTCTCGATCTCCCTTTTCCACCATGAACCTCTCGGTAGTCCTCAATGACATATCTCATGAACTCGAGAGAGAGAGAGAGTGAGCAAGTTTACCTACCCAGTGCAGCAAGAAGCCCAAAAAACAAAAAGCGCCAAGCTATATCCTCCTCCCCAAAATAAGATAGATAGAGAACTACCGGCCCCGGGGAGAGTCCTAGCATCCAGAAATAGCAACCCGCCCTTTCTTCGTTCGTTCGCGCGCGCAAACGCCCCTCTCCCCCCCATCCGTCAGATTTAGACTTAAGACACTATTGATAATGATAGCGAACACAAGGCCATAAACAGAAACAGAGATCCTGGGGGAAGAAAGAGACAGCTACGCTACTTAGTGTTAGTGTTAGTGTTAGTGTTTAGTTTTGTTGCTGTTGTGACAGGCGACAGGCGACAGGCGACAGGACAGGTCCTTAATCGCATAATAATCCTTCATCAGCCTTCAGTCTCAGCCGCCGCCCCCCGGGAGCTCGGATAATACGAGGTGCTTGGAGTCATTGGACAGGGGACTTTGTGATGAATGATGGAGCACATTTGCATAGGGTATTGGTAACTCAAGTAGCCACTAGGTTCGTGAGATTTCTTTAGTCCCGTTCCTGGATGCAAAGAGGCTTGTTCTTTTTCGTTTGGGCCGGGTTTGGTTTTTATCGTGGTGCGCGAGGGAAAAAGAAAATGAAAATGAAAAAGAGGAACTATATTTTGGGGGTGGGATACTGACTCGCGATGGTGTCTAGAGTCTACCTAGGAACAACTTCGTAGCTGCAAATGCGGCTGCTACACTAAAGTGGGTGGTTGGTGGTGCCCTGTGCCTGTGTCTGCCCCTGAAACGATGCGCGGCAAGCCACGACTAAACCGTTTAGGGTACGGCTACTCCGTGCAGTGCAGTAACTTTCGCCTCCCCCCTGGTCCAGATGAAACGACCTGTCATTATGACTCGCTCTCTTGTCTCGCTCCCTCTTGCATTATTTCACAGTCACGAACCCATCTTATCTGTCGTCCGTCGCTTCATCCCACCCCTGACTAGGGCTGCAAGGACGGGGAACCGGTCTCGGAGACAGCTATACTCTACTCTAGTTCAGCTATCCACAATCCACATCTGTTATGCAGTCATTCTTATAGTTAGTTTTCTTACCATCCCCCCCCCCCCCTTCAACGATCGGAATCGGGATCGCAATGTTTACTGTTGGCGTGACGTCGACCTTGATAGTGCCGAGGCTGCAAGAAACACAGTAAAAACTCAGCCAGGTTGTACCGCAGTAAGCAAGAAGGAAGAGGGCTGGCAAACCAAACCTAAGGTCTGAGGATCCGATGAGGATTGTGTGGGTGTGGCTTGGAAAATCGGACGACTAAGATGGACAAGAAACGACGGTAAACCCGGACCCGGCACTCTGGCTGGAGCTAGGATCTTCTTCTTGATGTACAGACAGTAACTACGTCCGTGTGTGAGAGATCACACGCAGGAAGAGACGAAAAAGCAGGCTGCCTCGCGCAACAGCCGCAAGTTAGTGGAAGGAAGGACGGAAGGAAGGTGTTTCCCCCAGCTTTTGCTTCTTCCATTTCAAGGTTTTGCCTTCCCACCTCCGCCTCCCATTGCGGCCTTTTCTTGTCATTTGTTGTTGTAAACACTAAAACCCCATCACTGGCACCGAAAAAAAGATCTACGAACTGGCACGTGTCGTGATGGTAGGACTCAGGACTAGCCCCCCAATCCCGTAAGCCTATCATACGCAAATCAGGGATTGAGGTTGCCTGAGCGCGCGCGCATACCAGTATATCCTGGTCATACTTGAGTATCGTTGTGGAGTGCGGTCGGCCGTGGTGCCTTATCGTGCATTTCGTGATGATGAGGTTGAGTCATCGCGACCGGCCGGTAATTATTTCTTCACGGTTTCTAGCGAACTAGGTAATTTACGTAACCGGTGCTTAATGAAGGCTAGGGGCCAATGCGGCGTTTTGTCCTTCTCTGGGGATAGAAGAAGAGGGAAGCGCGAAGTCAACACACAGTGAATCTCTCAAACCGAGCGCTGGTCGAAGGTGGTGGAAGAAGTCAAACCACAAGAGCAAGAGATAGACATCCCCAAGGCTTGGAACATGGCGGAAGGACATTAAAAGGTGAACATATTGATTGACATGCGGCAGAAACTCACCTCAGCAAGGAGGGTGGGTCGTTCGTGGGTGCCTCTTTTTCTCCTTTGCCCTGAACGGCCTTCCAGAAAAATGATCGATTGCTGTGGTGTCAGCCAGGTCGGTTTCGATTTCCCTTTTGTTTGAAGTAAATGTTGTTTTCTGTTGGGTCGCATGGAAGAATTTTTCGACTTCTTCTTCTTCCCTCCCCCTTGTACTGTACCAGAGGTCACAAAGCCATTGACTTCGTGTCCCTTACTGCATCTGTCTGTCTGGCTGGCTGGCTTGTCTGTTTGTATCGGGTACCTCCGACACATTTCCTTCGGTTTGAGACTGAACCAGAACCCAGACTTTCTGCTCCAGCACTGGAGTGTCTGGGAGTCTGGGACTCATGCTGAATAAGCTCTCACTACGCAATCTCATGCGAAGTCAATCAACAATGAAACCTGCGGAGCAAGTTTGAAAAAGGGGGAGGCGAAAAAACACCCCTAGTCCTGAGTAACGTAGTGCTGCAAACCCCGGGCAGCCGAGAGTGGGACAGGGAGAGACGGAGAGAGAGGAGGAGAAGAACTTCTAGAAAATTTCCGTGGGATTTCCTAATTGGGGGAGGCTTCCCCATCGGATTTCCCATCTGCTTCCCATGATCCCATCTGGCATCCCACCCGGTATGGCACTAGTGTAAGAACCGTCAGATTCTGACGTAGTTCGGTTTTTTCCCATCTGTCCGAGTGGAGCTCAGCTCCTGTTCCCGACAGGGGGTACGTCCTTAATATTAACTGGGGGTTTTTTTTGCCCTTGATTTTATTTTTTTTGCGTTCGATTTTCTTACCTGGCGCGCGCTGTTGTCGAATGCCAATCATTCTTAGTCGGTGTTTTTTTTCTCGCCCAGATGGAATTTGAAAAAGAAAAATTAAAAACAAAAATATTGCAGATAAAAATAATTCTGAAAAATGAACAGGAAAAAAATAAAAGAAAAATAACACCGCGATAGAGAAACACGATTGAAGTGTATATATTAGGCACCTTCGAACCTCGCTTTTGAAAACTTTCCTTTCCTCTTCCTTCCTAGACTTCAAAGATCTTGAAACTATTCAAAGAAACATCACCACTATCAACCCACTACTACCGCTGCGCAGACACTCCTCATCTTCTGCCTCACCACCACCACCACCACCACCATCATCATCAATCATCTCGACTACCATCTCCACACCTACTCTCAACAACACCAACATCACAATGCCTTCCATCGGTGGTACCTCTCAATTCCCTCCCTGCCCTGGCCCTCCGCCAAAGGGACCTCTTCCCCCACTCCCCAAGTAAACAATGGGTGTACCATCTCGATATGAACTTGACGACCAATTGATTCGGACCGGTTTCTCTCCATCGCATCTGCTCCGCTTTGATTAATATCTCGATCAAGCGGACCGGTTCGAATCGCTCATGATATGGGAGCTGCACCCTTTGGCATGGATATGACGATTTCGTTTTTGGGACTCGCACTACGGCTTTTTACCACATACGCCTTTTATTCGACACGCTTTCAATACCACCTCATTCTATCTTCAACACCCCTATTCATCATCTTTCGGGACCTTACCTATTATGGGACTACGCGACAGCATCTGACCGATTCTCTCATGTTGCCGATAATTTCACTTTTCCACCCAACACGATCTTCCCTGGAGACGAGCGCAGGCGCTCTACTCCAGTTTCTCCCACCAGCAATCGCGCTTTGGTTGTTGCGACATCAACACATCATCACTCACTGTGCCCTTACGTGGCCGGTGGACCGAGCAGCGGACCCTGCCGCCTTGAATTACCGAACCTGCAACTGTTACCAAACGGATGGCCATGTGTCTCATCTGGACCTTGGCGGGTCACTCGGTAAACTCGTGGGTTCCAAAATCGGCAGCCTTGTCAGTCAGCATTTCCACCAGCAACCCCGCAAGAGTCGGTGACGACACGACTCCCGCTCGCTCGGGTTCCCATGTGAGATAGTCTCGGATCCTGCTTGGATTTGCCGGGACTGACCCCTCCTCGCACGCAACAACTGTTGATGTCAATGCGCTGATCCGTGTGGTGATGTTCACCATCATGCATTGCTATTGGCGGATGGATCACTTTGCATCCCAGCCTACATCTAATCATCGGGGGAGGTTTTTTTTTTTTATTTTTCTTTTTCTTTTTCTTTTCTTTTCTTCTCTCATTCGACCCAATCCTCTTGTATCATCTTGATTCCTTATCTTCGTCTTTCGGAGGGTCTGAGCTTTTTTTCATCTTTGATTCCACGTGCATGTATAATAGACTTAATATACCCACCAGCATATCGCATCTTACTGCGCGCGCGATTTGACATCGCTAATGAGATTAACCATACTTCTTACTACTTTTGGCTCCTTGACGTCCAGTTGTAACCAGTGTAAATCCCGCATTGTAAGACGACGCAGTCTCATTGGTCATGTGGTAACTGCGAGACAGCGGGCTGTTCCCTTGCGTTGATTGAGGATCGACGGACAGAATGCTCGGCCGGACAGGGATCATGATACCATCACTGAGGAAAGCAGCCAACATCACCTCCGAACCAACTTCCCTTCCTTCCTATCGATTCCCCCGCTTTACAAGCGACGATCTGAAACCCGCCAAAAGCGGAATTATGACTCAAACGACCGAGCCCGCTGATGACGATGGGGGATGATTATGATCACCATTACGAAATCCTGATCCTGACTGGGTGACAGTTTGGGTTGGGGCCTTATCGGAAGCTTTGAGGGCAACTTGGAACTGTACCTTTTTTTTCTTTTTCTGTTTTTTTGTTTTTTTTTTTTTCCCCCATGACGGAGTCCCAAATTCAATAGTCGCGCAGGCGAACATCCCTCCATCCCCTCCCTAGCTCTCCCGAGGTGGCGTGCCTTGGGCGCTCCTGATACGATGACGGTCCGTGGGGAGGGGGAAGGGGGAGGGGAGAGCTGTTCATCAGGCTGAGAATGACTACTAATAGGTACTTGTGTTCCGGTTTATGGTCATAATACTTATGTTGATTATTGCTACTATAATTGATACTGAACCGAGTCACTCGTGACATTCAAAACGTCTGGTGAGCTAATCTAACCCACATGCACTATTTATTGGCATGCATATGTATGGCATAGGTCCGAGACCCGTGGAGGATCTGACTGAATAGGGCAACCTGACGATGTAATCATGATAAGCTACAGTCACTGCCACAAGGCTGTTACTCAGCTTCAGATGGCAGGCAGCATCTAACTTCCTTCCACACCCATGCCCTGAACCAAGTTTACTCCAATGCCTTGGTTGCGAGCAACAAGAGGCGGGGGGTGGAAGGGATGCCAACTGGTTGAACCGTTGCTGTAACGTCCTGTGTCCTTGTTTTTGACTGGGGAATCTTCTACCCTAACCTATTCGATTCTCTGCTCCTCAAGTCGACCACGTCCACGTCCACGTCCACGACACCATACTAAGTCGAAATGGTGCCTAGCCCGGCAAGTCCGATCGCAGGTCAACTGACCCGACCTGAATCCTGACCCTGGCACTTGAACGCGGGGACCTGAGCATAGAGAAAGGGAAGGTACCTGATTCGGATTAACGCCACTTTCGACTGTACTAGACTCCTAGTACTCCGTAGAGTTCTCTCCCCCCCTCTTTTTGCCCACAGTCTCCCTTCAATCCACTTACTCTCTCCCACACCCTCCTTGAACATGCTGCGGTCCAGGCACGTTCCACTCTTACCCGCACTTCTGCTCCATTGCAAAACGGATATCATGCCATTTGCCATGTGCACCAATGTATGGACGGCAATGGAAATTGAGTTTTCCTTGATCGGGAGTCCCTGGATGTTATAGCACTACCTTGTAAATTAGGGTACTTGGAAAATGCAGTGGGATGTGAGGAGAGCAAAAAAAAAAAAAAAAAAAAAAAAAAAAAAAAAAAAAAAAGGCATAACAAAAAACAAGCCGGAAATCAATCCCTCCTCTCACATCACGTTCCCTCTCTCTCTTTCTCTACCTGTCTCCTCCCTCTTCCACCCTTTTAAGCGCTCCGAACTAAAAACAAGCGCCACTGCGTGGATGCGTTGTTGCCCTGCGGCTCGTCGATTCAGGAAGTGTGGGTGGTTCGTTGCCGTGTTCTAGGATGCAGGATGATTTGCATTGCTAGAGCAGGAATCAATCTCAAGGTCTACTGTACTGTACTACTTGTTCACTAAGTGAACGTACTCCTTACTTACTCTCCGTACGATGTAATTATTCTTGTCCGTGGCATTGATCGCCTGGGGAAGAGAGTCGGGATTGTCATAGTCATATCGGTAGATGAGTGGGCTATCTTGTGATGGGTTGGATGCTTATCCTTATCATCCGATCGTCCCCCCTTTCCCCCCTCCTCCGATGGCGTCTTTATCGATAAGTTCTACCAGGCTTGCGCCAAGAGAAGGGAGATGAGGTGCTCGCGTCGTGGGCTTCGATTACCGGATCTCTGCAGCCTGGTGGCCTTTGGATGGATGAGGCGAGGCACGGGCCGTTTGAAGGAGATTGAATTGATTAGAATCGCTCATTTCACTTGGTCAATGATCTGATCAGTGGTCTCCTGTTTCGTGGTCTCGTCGGGTTTATCAGAGGGACGGGACTATGGAAGAAAGGCCCCGATAACGCCATATTGAAACGAACCCGTACTTAATCTACTTGAGATGGTAGTCGAGGCTGATCCTGTAGCCCCTCCTCTCCCCTCTTCTTCACTTCGTGACAATCTGACCGTCGTGGGGTCGCTCTGGGTGATTGAGAAGGTAGTGGTGACGAGCAGATGGAGCACGGCAGCTTTGCAGGTGTCTATGTATCTCGCGAGTAGCCGCCTCAGGCATACATCTGCAACCCCACCCGATAACTCAGAGATGCCTGAGGCTGGAGATCGGGCAGGATATATGGGATTCTGCACGTGATCGGCCGCGATCAACCAGTCCGATGCACCTTTGCACCAGCACCACACCAGCTGGTCCGGACGATCCATCGGCACGCGCGTGAAGCCTCTGAAAGACACGATGGTGTTGGAACTCCATGTTTGGGGGCCGGCATTCTCCCTGCCGTCCATCGATGCACAATGTCTGGCAACCATTGCCTATCTGTCACTCGCCCTGCCCAAGGACGCGTGGGTGCTCGTCGCAAGTAGCGATCCCTCGGTGTCTCCAACAAGTGAGTCGTCCGGGCTTTCCCCCCAGTCCCGAAGATTCTCGTAAGAACATCACTAAGCATAGCTTGTTGCAAATAGATGAACTCCCTGCCCTGCGAAACGACAACACCTGGGTCTCCCGCTTCCGCAACATAGTCGACTACCTCCGCCAATACTCCTCGGGCGATTGGGATCTGGATGCCGACTTGACCGGACTAGATCGCGCGGACAGTATCGCGTACGTTTGATTCAAACCCCCCCCCCCCCCCCTGCCTGGTCCGAAGTCTCCGTTACTGAATCAACGAATTAGATTCACCTCCTTCCTCGACACGCAATTCCCGCCTCTCCTCGCCCTCTCCCTCTACGTCACCAGCCAGAATTACTACACCTCCGTCCTCCCCGCCTACTCGTCGCAGATCCTTACCTGGCCGTCGACCTGGCTCCTCCCCCCGCAGATCCGCGCCGCCGCGAAGCGCGCCTCCGACCACCTCGGCCTCTCGTCGCTGGACCTCGTCGCCCTGGAGGAGGACCGCAAGCGCGAGCACTCGGCCGCCGTCGCCGCGGGCCGCCTCCCGGCCTCCCTCCCGCTCCTCAAAGCCACGACCCCGGCCCCCACGACCGCGGGCCTGGTCCCGAGCCACCGCTTCCGCATGGAGGCGGTCACGGCGGCGGCCTTCGAGCCCCTCGCAGCGATGCTGCCGCCCCAGAAAGATTACCTGCTCGGCGGGGACCGCCCCACGAGCGTTGACTGTCTCCTGCTCGGGTACGGGAGCCTCGCGGCGCTGGGGTCGGAGAGTCTGCAGGATGCGTGGCTCGGGGAGGCGATGCGGCAGAAGGCGCCGCGGGCGGTGGAGTGGGTGCGGCGCATGCAGCGCGAGGCCGGGCTGGCCAGTCTCCCGTGGCGGCAGCCCGAGCGCCCCCGCTGGGTGACCGTCGGCAACACCCTGTGGAACACCGTGGCGGACGCGACGCCCATCTGGCGGGAGTACCGCGCCAACACCCGCATGCACGAGATTGCGCAGTCCCACGAGGCGGATCTGTCCGGCGAGGAGCGCGAGGCGTTGGCGGAGTATGCCACGGGATACAAGAAGGATGTGTGGTTGTCCGTGGCGGCCGTTGTGGGCGGGGTGGCGGCGCTGGTGGGCTATATGGCGCATGTGGGGTTGTTGGGCGGTGGGGACGGGGACGAGGAATTTGAGGAGGACGAGGACGAGGAGGTGGAGGTGGTGCAGCCCGAGTTGCCGGTGAGTCTGAATGCGACGGACTTCTTGGGGTCGATGTCATTTAGCTAGGCGTGGGTTGTGATGTGTATGTACATGTACGATAGTTTGTTTGGTCGATCTAGAATCGAACTGATCCACCGTTCGGGGGGGGGGGGGACGTTTATGATATGTCGGGTTTGAGGGGATGCAGGAGATACCTCAGTATGCTTTCTTGCACATGACGGTGATGCACACCAGGGTGGACGGCACCTCCAGGAAAGAGTACACTGCCTAGTACAGTACGTAGAGTAATATCTCATCTGGAAAGACCACCACCGTCTGAGGTCATCAGTCCAGCTCTGATCTCTAGGCTTACTAGTATGGATCTAGCAAGGATACTATCCAACGAAACGATCCAATGCTCGTAACGGGTATAGTTCGTTATCAGCCACGAAGTATATCAGGACTGCAGCTCCAAGTAGTCATCGATATACTACATACACATCCCTCTCCGTGTGAATTTTCTTATCCCACGACCTCTCCGTCTTACTCCAGTTTACTACTTCAGCACAGGAACGGATCCACCGAGGTCATCTCAATGCAGTAAGAGACTAGAACCGAAGACCCTGAGAATACAGGTCCAACCAACCGCTCCCGAGAATCCGCACCGTCTATCTCCATCTCAAGAATACACAGCATAAACAGGATCATACCTCCACAACCCCTACCCCTACCCCTAACCCCAACCCCAACATCAACCCGAGCAATCTACACTGTACAAACCAAAAACCCCCCTCCCCCCCATAGGTAACCCCTGGGCTTCTCCCCATACCCACCTACCCACCCCATCGTATAGTCCCATTACCACTCCCCTCAGAGAGACTCAAGACTCACCGAGACCCAGACAAAAACCCCCGAACCAACTCCCCAACCAACCGCACCGTCTCCCCGATCCGCTTCTCCCCGACAAACGGCGCACAATGCCCACAGTCCATCTCGCGGACGGCAAACTCGCGCCCCGTCGCCGCCATCATCGCATACTGCGCCTCTTTCGGGACCGCGCGGTCCCTGGCCGTGACGATGAACGCCAGGCCAGTGGCATCGGCGTCGGCGTCGGCGTCCGCCCACGCCGGCGCCGGCTGCGGCGACGTAAACGCCCGCGTCGCATGCGGTCGGAGGAACGTCTCGAGATCGTCGCCCGACAGTGCCGCTTCATCATCATCATGCCCTTCCGCCGGAAGGAAATTCCCGATCGGGTCGTCGGGGTAATTGAGCTGCGGCGCGGGCTTTTTATCCCTCCCGTTTCCAGGGTTTAGTTAGTAATTAAGGGTCTCTCTCTCTCTCTCTCTCTCTCTCTCCAATTTCTTTCCCCCCCCCCCCCAAACTCAGATAGAGGGAAAGGGGGGGGAAGGGGAGGGAGCGAGCATACCGTATCCAACAAAATCCACCCGGGCAACCTCCCGCCCTGCAACCCGGCACAACTGACCCCCTCGGGCACGAGGAACGCCGCGATGAAGATCATCCCCACCACGCCGCCGGGCTGGCCGGCCCGCTGGCGTGCGGACCGGCTGAGCCCGTGGGCCGCCGCCGCCGCCGCGGCGCCGGGCATCCCGGCGTACGAGTGCATCACGAGGATGACCTCGCGGCCGTCGGATTCGATCAGGGTCCGCAGCTGGGTGCGGATGGCGGCGGTGTCGGTCTGGCAGTCGGCGGTGGCGGGGTGGGCGGGGTCGAGGGAGGGGTAGGGGATGTGCGTGGTGGGGAGGGCGGTGGTGGTGGTTAGGGTGTGGAGGAAGGGGGCGTAGAAGGTGGGCGTGAGCCAGGCGCCGGGGAGGAAGGCTATTGTTGGGGGCATCTTTTCTTGGGGGTTGTTGGGTTGGATGGGGGTGGATGTA